CCCCAGCCCCTCACTGGGGATTCTAGGCGGGGCTCCACCCTGACCACGCCCCCAGCCCCTCACTGGGGATTCTGGGCGGGGCTCCACCCTGACCACGCCCCTAGCCCCTCACTGGGGATTCTAGGCGGGGCTCCACCCATGATTCGCCCCTAGCCTTGTTTATTTTTCAGAGTCTCACTAAGTTCCTACACTGGACCTCACAAATGTTGCTCAGCATTTCAAGAAGTCTGGGTCACAAGCGTGTGCCACGGGTCGCGATGACTCCTGTGTTATAATGCACCCGTGTCCCTGTATCCGGCTTGAACAGTGATGATGATAATATGCGCTCCCTCTGTCACCGTCTCCTGAGATCCCGGCTGAGAGACTGCATGCCTGCAGATTACTAGCATTTACACCATTTCCAAAGAGACACACAGAATCAGAGAGGTGATAGCGACAGCCCAGGGTCACAGAACCAGAGGACGGACCAGGCCGTGAACCAGGGCCCTGTGGAACCCATTAGCAGAACCGGCCATGTGGTGTCAGCATCCACCACTGTTGCCCATGAGATTTCCAGGGATGCTATGGGGTGGGACCACAGGGCAGGAGACATGACCTGTGACTTCCTAGTCACCCCCAAATGCTCACATCCTACTATCCGAAGGGCAGAGAATAGTTACGCCCCCCCCCCGCCCCGCCACACACACACTGTATTGTAGTTCAATGACCTGAGTTTTTAAATTTTGCTATTAATTTGTTTTTTCATTTTATTTTCTGTGTGTGTGTGTGTGTGTGTGTGTGTGTGTGTGTTTGCCTGCATGTGTCTGTGAGCCTTGTGCATGCAGTACTCGCAGAGGCCAGAAGGGGGCATCGGGTCCCTAGAACTGGAGTCACAGGCGGTTGTGAGCCCCGTGTGGGGGCTGGGAACCGAACCCAGGTCCTCTGCAGGAGAAGCCGGTGCGCTAACCGCTGAGCCCCAGTGATAATATCCCCCCACAGGGGCAGATGGTGGTCACCCCCACTCCAGGCACAGGAGGCCTGGTACTTTGAAGTCCTCCTGGGCAACATGACAAATAAAACTAAAGTGGGGTGAGGGGGGTAGAGAGACGGCTCAGCGGTTAGAGCACTGACTACTCCTGCAGAGGACCTGGGTTCAATCCCAGCACCCACATGGTTACAACCCTGTAACTCCAGTTCCAGGGCTTCTGACTCTGATTTATGGCCCCCTCAGGTGCTGACCACACAATGATGCACAGACAGATGTGCAGATAGACACCCAGACACTAAAAACA